CTGTGATAGCTACCTGACCAGGTGAACCTGCCTTCACCCTGAGTCAGCTGGGATAGACTCCAGCCCCCCGTGACCCTAGTGAGGATTAAGCTGTGTATAGATCATGGATGGATGTTGAACTTGGAATCCACATGTACATTTTCCAGGTGCTACTAACATTCACAAAAAACATGGAGGCTCCACGTATTACAGATCATTACCTGTTTATGTTTTCATACCTGTCTGCCGTCACCTCTGTGTGAACACTGCCTGCAGTTCAGCCTAAAGTCTCAGCTGAAGCACGAACGGCTTTACACAGAAACATGTTTCTTACACTTTGTGGTTAGTGTAAACGGTTTATTAATGCCAATATTTTTTTAAATTAGACACGTGAAATAAAAGGATTTTTGGTAAATTGTGATTTTAAGGTTGGATTTGGTTAATTTTCCTGCTAGAGCTGTACGCCACACGTGATTCAATCAAGAACTGAAACTGAAAATGTGATGATTCTCCCTGTTTTTCAGGTGTCCGACTTAGATAAAATCGGTTTCAAATGGGTTTTGGGTCGAGACAGTAAATTGCAATCATCACACTAAAGTTGAGCTGAAATAATCAATCTATCGATCTAAACTGACAAAAAAATCTGCCATTTATTTCAGTTTGTGATGTAACTAATGTTTATGGTTATCGTCGGTTATCCTCTTGTTTATTTTCTGCATTGATGTAAAGTTTGCGTGGTCTTTAAAATGTCAGAAAAGGGTGAAAAATGTCAATTAGATTTTCCCAAACAAAATGTTGTTTTGTCCACAACCCAAAGATAATCAGTTTGCTGTCATAGAGGAAGAAAAAAAACAGAAAATACTCACATTTAAGAAGCTGGAATCAGAGAATTTATAGTTTTATTTCTTAAAGAATTGCTCAAATCAATGATCGAAATAGTTGGCGATTAATTTAAAAGTTGACAACTAGTCGGTTGATCGTTTCAGGTTGTTGATGTAGAAACACCAAACATTTATTGGCTGCTTTTATCTGCTTCATTTCAACATCTCCTGAATATTTTGTGCAGCATTTGAATACTCGTCCGAGCTTCTAGGGACCTATGATGAGCCCATTTGCCTCCCGTGTAACCCAGTCTTTGTCGCCACTCTTTCCAGGAGTACATCTGCCCAAGATGTGATTCGGGTTTCATCGAGGAAGTAACAGAAGACTCCAGGTGAGACGCTTTTATTGTCCTCGCGTCACGTCTCCAGGCAGCGCGCGACGCCGGAGCCCGTTAGCGTCGCTCTGGAGCCGCAGAACGCTGATGCTGCAGTGCTGAAGCCGTAGTTTTGTTTCCAAAGCTGGACATGTGTACACAGGGTTTAGCCGATGTCGCTAATAGTGCTGCTGCCTTTTGTCCCTTTGTGTCTCCCTCAGTCTCCTAGAGGGTGGCGCTAACGGGATAGACGACACAGCCACACAGTTTGCAGAGGTACGAACAGAAATACTGTCCGTTTACACAATTAATCTTCTTCCTCTTTTCCCCCTATCTTTCATTTCCTTATTACAAGTTTGTCGTCTTTACTCACTTTTCCTTTCTCCGAACACCTCCCCAGCTATGGCACCTCCTGCTGCTGGAGCGGCCGTTCACGACAGACGCCGACACCCCCGACTCGGAACCCCGGCTCCCCGGAGGACGCCTGGGGGGTTTCGGCGAGCTGGGAGGGCTGGGGGGCGGGCCGATCGGGGGGTCCGTCCCGGCGGGCCTCGGGGGACCCATGGGCGGCCTGCTGGGAGCCGGGGAGCACTGGGGGCCGGGCCGTCCTCCACGTCTGCACAGCCAGAGGAGGTACCGGTCCAGAGGCAGCAGTCGGCCCGACCGCTCGCCGGCTGTGGAGGGGTGAGCTTTCTCGTCTTCATCCTCCTCGTCTTCCTCCTCGCTCCCATTTATTACAACAATCCTAGCCTTTCTTCTTTTTGATTATTTTCTGTTTTTTTCAGGATTGTACAACAGTTTCTCGCCGGTCTCTTTGCCAACTCTGGGGTCCCCGGCTCACCTCCCCTCTCATGGTAATAGCAGTTTCATTTTACCTCACTGTGGCTCAGTTTTCACTAATTTAAATGAGCAGCCTGCATGTGGATTATACCCACGATGTTGCGTAGCCTGTATGATGTTAAATCTGTGTTTCCTCTGTGAACATATTTATTACAAGTGTGGTGTGACACTGCCACATGGCTTTACCTGCTGTTCAGGTCTGTTTTAATGCCTAAAAACTCCCTTATGCTTTTTTTTTTGTTGCTCTACCTCAAATACAGAAACACACACACAGCTCTGACATGCGTTCTCTTTTACAGACCTGTATCTCCTGATTTGAAACCCGGTTCAGCTTTTGTCTCGTGACGGCGAGTTTACATCCCGTCAAAAAAAAAAAAAAGATTGCATCACATCTCCTGAGCTAAACATGAAAACAGAAGAAGAAGCTCTGAAGCTGTGGTTTTGGTTAAAATGCAAAAAAAAGAGAGACCTCTCTTGAACTTCCTAAAAGCCTAAAAGAGAATGACACCATTTGTCAGAGCCTGAACCTGTAGAAACAGAAAGAATTGTCAGATTTTCAACTTTCCTCGAAGATCCTTGAACTGCTCGCGTGTTGTGTTTGGAAGCGTCACCAGATCTCAGCGTCAAAATGATGAGATTTAAACAAAACCGATTAATTATAAATGCTTCTTTATAATCATAGGACAATTATACATTTTGCACCGCTAGAAGGTCGCCGGTTCGCGTCCCGGTGAGGACACCCGGGATCTTTCTGTGTGGAGTCTCCATGTTCTCCCCGTGCAACGTGGGTTCTCTACGGGTTCTCCGGCTTCCTCCCACAGTCCAGAAACATGTTGAGGTTAATTGGTGATTCTAAATTGTCCGTAGGTGTGAATATGAGTGTGCTTGGTTGTCTGTCTCTAAGTGTAGCCCTGTGATAGACTGGTGACCTGTCCAGGTGAACCTGCCTTCACCCTGAGTCAGCTGGGATAGACTCCAGCCCCCCACGACCCTAGTGAGGATTAAGGTGTAGAGATGATGGATGGATGGATTTTCGAGACGTCACGGCAGAACAACTAGCACACATACACCGATCCTGTCAACTTCACTCAAAAGTCCAGACTTTAAACTCTCTCCCAGTTTTCATGTCTAGATTACATACAACCAGAGATATGATGTTATGAACGTGCGTGGGAAAAAAACGTGCGTAAAATGTGTGAAGCGTATGAAACAGGTGTCGCATTTCTTTTAACATCTTTGCAATTTTTTGTCGTTTCACAAAACGAAAGTGAAAGAAAGTCCCCGAAGTGCAGCTCCCGTGACGTGGCCGTCGGCCTCATCCTGGACAGAAACTATTTCCAGGAGTGGCATCAATAAAAAAAGAAAGACAGACACACCTGCTTGTATATTGAAAATAGTTTTTATCACGTGACTGTTGGTCAGTCGTAGCTTGTCACTTGCGTCAAGCAGTGAAGAAGTTTTTTGAATTTTTTACACCAGTAAGTTTGTGTAAATGGTTTCTTTTTGGCAATTTTTTAAAATAAGACACACAGACTGTAGGTATTTTGATGAAATTCTGTTATTTTGAGCTCAGATTGGGTTAATTTTCCTGATGAATCGTTAAAATCTTGCACGATTAGTTCAAGGAAAGTTGAAACAATTCTGACTCTGATTAATGATTTCATTTGGATGATTCTTAAAGATAATCAGAAAAAGTTTTATTAGCAGGTGAGCTTGCACACACAAGGAGTTAGCCTCGGTTACATAAAACTCCCGACGGGTCAGTAAAAGAACAAGACAGCAACAGAGGGAGGAAGTAATGAATATAAAATCTTTATCAGAAGTCCTAAGAAGGATTATAAAAATAGAATTTGCTACAAAAAACAACCAAACAGTGGTGTTATATTTACCTAAAAGATTAAATAAATTACAGTATTGAAAGACTGAGATTAACATGATCAATAACACGGTTTCTCAGTTGCACCGAGGAGCTCAGAATGATTACAGATTTGTAAATAAAACGTAGAATCAAGTGATTTTAAGCTTAAATGTGGTGCCTTTTCCCGACTGAGCTGCACTGCACACCTTATTAGTTAAATATCCGGTGATACTTTCTGTTTTTGCGGTTTCTGGCTGATGAATCGTGTCAGTTTTGGGCGTTAAATGCTGCTCGTCATCTCCTCGGTTTGTCTCTTTCAGGACGGGGATGCTGCACTCTAACCCGGGGGACTATGCGTGGGGGCAGGGCGGGTTAGACGCCGTCATAACGCAGGTAAACCAAACCTCATCACACTCGACGTCTGTGTTTCCGTCGCCTCGTCGTCGTCACTGTTGGGTTCATGAAAATGTGTGTTTTCAGTTACTAGGTCAGCTGGAGAACACAGGACCTCCTCCAGCGGAGAAAGAGAAGATCTCTTCCCTCCCAACGGTCAATATCTCTCAGGAACAAGCAGGTCAGTCGCTCCTCTTCTCCTCTCATCGCTGTCTCACCAGGTTCCTCTTGTCCTTGAAGCAGACGTCAGAGTGTCATCACGGCTATATGAGACGGTTAGCAGAGCACAGAGTTTAAATCTGCTCTTACGTTTCATAGTCCTCAAAGTTTTATCGAATAAAGTCATTATACTGGATGAAGTTATCGTCAGTAATGTCAAAGTAGGACTTATCCTTTAAAGGAACAAAGCAATAAACTTCATTTCTGCTCTTCAGTAAAGTCGAGCCACAGCGGTTCATTGATTAGTTGTTAACGATTAAATTAATCATTAGCTGTTTTGATTTCATGGCTGAGACTTATGTTTCTGGAGAACCTCGAGCTTCAGAAGACGTCTTTAAAAATCCCAAACTGAGAATTACCAAAGTGTGATTAAATGTAAAAGTTTTAAAATTCTGCCAAAATATTTTTTAGAATTTTGTCTGTTTTGGCCCCAATTCATGAAGACGGAACAAAATCTGAGACGGTGCAGCCGCATGTTTCCCTGATTTCTGTCTGAATTTACATAAACTAACCTGTCTTGTCAATTAAGCATCAGACGATTTGACGATTTGATGATCAGACAATCACTTTGAGGCATTTTTTTCTTAAGAAAAACAGTTGAAACTCTCTGCAGCTTCTAAAACGTGCAGGTTCTTCTTTCTTTCCTCATCTGTGACAGTAAATTGAAAGTCATGGCTTCATCAAGATAGAAATACTTTATTAATCAAAGTTGCAAAGTTCTTTTTTTTTTATAGAGCTGCAACATTTAATCATTAACTTATAAACTTTTAAATTAACCACAGCTGTTTTGATATTCAGTTAATTTAATTTAAGCAATATTGTAAAAGAAAAAAGGGCCAAATTCTGTGATTGCAGATTAAGTGCTTCTTAAATGTGAATATTTTCCGGTTTCTTTCCTCCTATTTGAGAGTAAATTGAATATCTGTGGACAAAACAAGACATTTGTCATCTTTAGAAACACGGATGAACCATTTTTTGACCAAACAACTCATCTAATAATCCAGAAAACGACATATTTAGTTCCAGTTTTGAAATTAAAAGTCAGAGTAACGTAATACAGGCACATCCCACATGGACAGTTAATCACCTTAGGATGCTTTATTTTTAATATCCTAGATAGTTTGAAGGGTTATTAAATACATAACAATCATCGATTAGTTGTCAACTTTTAAATGAATCGCCAGCTTTTTGATCCAAGTCCTTTTTTAGAAAGAAAAACTGCATAAATTCTCTGATTGCAGCATCTTAAATGTGAATATTTTCTGTTTTTTTTCCTCCTATTTGACGGTAAACTGAAGATCTTTGGACAAAACACGACATTTGTGACACAGATGAACCGTTTTCTGACCAAACAACTTGCTAATTAATCCAGAAAATAATCAACAATGAAAACAAGCACGATTTTTGTTGCCTTATCGTAAAATAACACTGTGCTTTGAATGCATGTGTCTCCATGGATCTAAATTATGCCTCATTAGTATAAATTTAGCTGATAATAAACCCGTCGTTGGTGCAGAAGTCTGTTCAGCCGCCTGCTGCCAAGAGGAGCTTCTGAAACGGTGTCTGTTTGGGACGAGACGCCCGTTAACCTTCAGAGAATCAACAGTTTGCTCCATAAATGAAACCGAGATGACGTCTTGTTTCACCTCCTGCTTTTCCTTTTGGCTCGGTGGTGCTTCTCGTGTGTGTGTGTGTGAGTGTGTGTGTGTGTGTGTGTGTGTGCTGCCCTATTTTACCGCTGAACAGTAACGCCGCCGAGCTATTTGCAGGACACAGCTGATGTACTGGGATGAATGAAGGTCTTTTTCTGTGTTTTTATCCATCACGTTCGGTACTTTCTACGTGATTCAACAACTCCACGTCTCCGTCTTGTCCCTCCGACAGACTGCTGTATGGAATGTCCAGTGTGCAAAGAGGACTTCTCAGTGGGAGAACCAGTCAGACAGCTACCCTGCAACCACTTCTTTCATTCAGACTGTATAGTACCGTGGCTGGAAATGGTGAGTTTCAACAAGTACAGCGTCCCGATGCATCGTAGGTCAGATGCAGCATGCAGAAATATAACCAACCTCATCTGGCAGTTTACAGCGAGACCCACAATCCTTTGTTACGTCACGTGAAGCATTACGAACTTTGTGATGGCTTTACTGGAAGCAGAAAGATAAAGCGTGAGATAAGATAAACTTTATTGATCCCTCAACCAGGAAAATTTAAATGACTGAAGGAAGCAGGTGAAGAGTTACACAAGTGCAATACAAAGGCAGAATAAAGACAGAATAAAGAGGCGTGATGATTTCTAAGTATAGTCATGACTCGATAATCCGACCCTTAACAATCCTAGACCTTACTATCCGACAGGTTTTGAGGAAAAACGAACAGAACCCATAAAAACATCCTTAACATACTGACAGCCTTGGATTCTGACTCCGACATGACATTTTATGTCACCAATCAGGATAACGGCGTATTATCTGACTGAACAATCCCACATATTGGCTACGTTCACACTGCAGGACTTAATGCTCAATTCTGACTTTTTTGTGAAATCCGATTTTTTTGTGAGTTCCTTCACATTTCCAGTTAAATGCGACTTGTATGTGATCTGCTGTGTGAACTTCATACGACCCAAAAGTGTCCCACATGCGCAGAAGAGGACGCGACGACGTCACACACAGCGAGCGTGCTCAGTGTTTATGGAAATAAACATGGATGGTAACGGTGGAGCGTATCTGCCACTCCCTCACCGCCACCGATGGTGGAATCAGAAGCATGAGCGCTAGCTAAACTAGCATCAGCAGCCAAGTACTGCCTGTGTGTTCTGGACACTTCCACCCCGTCAGAGCGCTGCCCCGGAGTGGACGTGGCCAGAATGTGTACAATCGCTCTGGCGTGAAATCCAGCGATGCGTAGTGTTCTGACAATACACTAGTTATTATAACAACTATAAACAATAAATATTAACAACTAATGAGCCTTCCAGCATCAAGCCCTCCTTGTATTTTGACCTCCGTCTTGACAATCCAACAGCCTTGCTATGCGACATAAAAGAAGGTTTTACATTTGGTGTCGGGTTATCGAGTCACGACTGGACTCTGAACATCTTGTCTGTGCATTTCATGGTAGAAGTTTAGTGTGTATTTGATTTTTTGTTAGGACGAAGCACTTCTTCTCTGATCTTCTCTCATTATTTAGGCTGGAAAGTGTTGGTGTAATAGGAGACTTTTATCAAACATGTTGAATTCAAAGCAAAAAGGCAGACTTATGATGTAAAACTAGATTTTTCTTTTGCTGACAAAATTGAAAAATTCTGCATTTTCCCTGATAAACAATAGATTTTCTGTCCCAATTACTTTATACCAATTGCATGTAGAATGAAAAGTGTATTTTTTGCAGCGATGCGACTATTCCTGAAGTACTCTGAACATTTTGTCTGTGCATTGTGTGGTAGAAGCTCAGTGTGTGTTTAGTTTTGGGTGGATTTTCTTTGATTTCCAGTAATAAACCTGGAAAGCGTTGGTGTGGCAGCAGACTCTAACAAATCTGTTGCATTCAAAGCCAAGCAGCCACCTGATCGTGACGTAAAGCCAGACTGAAATCAGGAATCTGCTCGCTCAAACTCTCCTACTCTTGTGAGAAGCTAACGTCTTCCTTCCTCCTGTTTCCTGGCAGCATGACACGTGTCCAGTGTGTAGGAAGAGTTTGAACGGAGAAGACAGCAGCAGCCAGCCTTCGTCAGAGTCGCCCTCCCTGTCCATGGACCCCCGAACACAGGAGAGATGGTCCTTCTGATCGCCCGCATCTCCTCCTCCGTCGCAGTCATAATCATCTCAGTCTGACTTCTTCTTCTTCTTCTTTTGTATTTTTTATTTTAACGCCTTTGTTCCTCCTCGACCATGCACCCATACAGACGTCTTAACATCCCGCCGAGGTCGCCTCCATCTCTCTTTCTTTGCCTAATAACCAACCAGCCTAGATCGATGTTCATCCAGTCTTCTCTACTTCCAGCAAACTCCCCCCTCGTTTTTCGTTAAACGTCCCGCCGCGATGGTGGATAAACGCCAGACGTTAGCTAAACCCTGCAGCTGAGCCGGACGCTTCACAGAATGGGGACGACGCGAGCACCTGACGAAAATGGGTTCATGTGGTGTTTGTGTTCAGATGGTGTCAGAAGGACTGAAGTTTGTTTATGTATTATGGTAGTGTTTCATTTTTGCAGGTGTTCGTGTTTTTGGTTTTTTTTTGTGTCCGTGCTCCCCCGAAACGAAAGCGTTTTACAGGAATCGGTGGGTTTAAACAGAAGCTGTGACTTCGGAGGAAACAAACGGGACTCAAATCACAAAACGGTAAATCTCAAAAGTTTTCGGCCCCCCTTAATCCAGATCTCATCTTCCTCCTGGTGTAAATACTCCACACAGACGGCGTCCCTCCGTCGTCCTTTTATTCCTCCGTTTATCTTTGGTTTTTATCACCTTTTTTTTTTTTCGATGTAAATAATTTTAGTCCAACAACTTAAGGTTTGCAATGGAAAAAAAAAAAACAACAAAACAAAACATTGAGAATGGAGACGCAAATGTGAAATACCTGGTTATCAAACTGTATATTATATATATGAAAAAAAAATGTCTATGATGTATTAATAAATTGACAAAAAACAAACATCAGTTTAGTTGTGTTTGCTCATTTCGTTTTATTTTCTCTCCACATTCAAACTTTTAAATTCCAGGCGCTTCATTTGCTCCGATTTTTCCTCAATGTGGGCTTTTAAAAAATTTATATAAAATAGTAATAATATAGGCTATAAAGTCCTGGATGTATGGAAATGGCACGACCGCGAAGATGAAATCATTAAATTAATTGTTTATCTTTTAAATTATTAAATTCACACAGAAAAAAAAAACTGTAATTAACATGTACGGAATTCTTTTTTAGGTTCCCTGAGGTGTTCCCACAACTGGAAAACAATAATAATCTTGGCTGTACACGCTATAGATGTTTAATTATTTATATTTTAAATCTGTTTTTATGCTCCTGCTCTGTTTAAACACTGCCGAAAAAGTTTCTGAATTTTTGTGACACGACTGTAAATCTCAGCTGAATCACAAATGACTTCTCAGTTGCGCCAAGAAGCTCAGAATTATTTGGTTTTTATAGAATCTGTTTAATGCTAAGAGTTTATTTTTAGCAAAGGTGATTTTAAGCTCAAATTTAACTCATTTTCCCAACAGACCTGTACAATTCTTCCTTTTTTTCCTACAATTTCTTGCTGGTAAATGGTGTAATTTTAGCAATTTTTAAAAATATAAAATACCTTTCAAATCAACGAGTATGTTTCGGGGTTCAGAGGTTTAAAACATGACACCTGATGCTAAAAATTCTGAGCAGTATTTGCTTTATTTACAATAAAATTAAACAGCAGCATCAGAAGACATTTACACATTTCTGTACATCGCTGAAATGATTTCTTCAAGCATCTCGTTAGCTTCAAATCAAGGCAGCTCAGGTTAAAGTGGTTCATTCGTGACTCTCTCAGGTGCCGGGTTTGATTAGAAGTGCTGCATAAACAGACTGAGGTTCATTATTAACCGCTAGAATCACTGAAGGACCAGAAGATGAACCTGCATTAGCTGATAGAAACGTCAGTGCAGCGGGGATCACAGCTTCCAGGAGGTTCCAGTGGGATTTTTTTCAGTGTTTGCATGTGAAATGTGCAGAGAAATGTGTTCCCAGTAGGTGAACTGGTTTTGCTGGTCAGCGTGTGTTCCAAGCCAGCGTGAGCAGAGAGCGAGGCGGAGCGGTGGAGGGCATGAAGCCCACGGCGGGATCCCAGACCTCGAACTGGACCGCCGACGGAGACCTGGCAACGCAGATACAGACAGATATAAATGAATACTTTATTAATTACAGGCATCCGGTAGCTTGTAGATTTATTACATGGAAGAGAAATAAGATACGAATCACACAAAGAAGAAACAGAAGCTTCTGCTGCAACTTAACACTAAAAAATGTTTAACAGGGACGCCGCTAT